ACATACTTAAAAAATATATATATTGATTGCTTTGAATTAATTAGGTTAATGTGATCGGTTGAAGTGATTCCTTTTTTTCTAGTTTGAAGGACTCAATCAGAATAATCTCAACTCCAAATCAGTTGGGTCCCTTGTTTTTTCTACATAGAATATGTAGAAAATAGCGGATGACAAGGGATCGGTGACATATTTAAAGCAGGGTGAAAAAAGAAAGTAAATAAAAAATCGAATAAACTCAAACGCGCATATCACAATTAAAAGGAGAGCGGAAAAGAAGAAGTTATGCATTGCGGCTGGTTGTCGAGCTGAGGAGCAAACATATTGAGTCTTGAGAATGAACGGAGTAACATGAACTCTAGGTGCATTAAACGTCTTGTCGAGCGCAAGAAGAGAGCAAAATAGGTAAAGAGAGGATTTTTTCGCAAAGGTGAAAACCCCTGCAAAGTTAGTCAAAAGGAAGCCTTTTATAGGCGCAAAGAATGAGACAAAGAGGTTAAAAAAATTTGACCATAGGAAGGGAAGTAGATCAACTACTTAGATCGAAGACAATAGAAGAAGGGACAGATCAAGTGTAATCGTTGGATTACAATAAAAAGAACGGACGAGACCAATGGAGTATTAAATGTGATACGATGCACAAGGTATGCATGGATGGCAAAGCGGCAGACGACGGGACGTTTGGAATGGAATCGACACGTGTCGATGTGATGGTTTAGCAAGACGAGTGCAAACACGTGTAAAGGGAGCGGATGCATGGTAATAGATTTGGTCGCGTGGCAAAAGTTTGAAATTCAAATTTCAAAGCAAAAAAGAAGCCCGACAGAAAATGGAGCCAAAGTGCAGCAATAGCCAAAGAGTCAAAATGAGGTCGATAGGCAAGACCAAAAGCAAAGAACATGCAAATTCACTCTTTGGAAAAGTGCAATATGTCATTCGATACGGTGCGATCTGACTAACAATAGTGTGCAATTGAAGTGCATTTATTTGTTTTTTCAATTATCTGTCACAGTTCAATATAAGACCGAAATAGTTAGTTTATTTGATCGATTAATATTTTTTATATAGTTTAGTTGGTTCTGTTATTTTTTTAAAAAAAAAAAATTAGTTCGGTTTATTTCTTTGTCGCTATAGTGCAATATGATAGTCGCTATAGTGCAATATGATAGTTACTAAAGTGCAATCGATCCAACACTAACGTGCATTTCGAATGCAAATGTTTTTCAATGATTTGTCCCAAACTAAACCTAAACGAGATAATCCATTTATTTGATTGGTTAACTGAATTATCATCAATAATCCATAATTTATAATATAAAAATATATTTACCAATTTAATGATTTAGTTATAAAAATTATATATTATTTTTGTTGTAAAGAGCTAAAAAGTACATATATAACAAAATAATTTTTTTTGTATAGTTTGTTCGGGCGGGTTATTTAAAAAAAAAAAAAAAAACAATTTCGACTTTGAACCAAGTTAACTAAAATTTTAAAAGTAACAACAAATAATCGAACCAAAATATAAACTTCAAATACACGAATTTTGCACGGAGGATTTTATGGTCACTTAGTGCAATTTTGCAGTCACTAACGTGCAACCGATCTAACACTGATATGCACTCAAAAGGTAGCTAATTTTAATGGTTTCCCCCAAACCAAACTAAAACCGAAATAATTGGTTTATTTCAGCAGTTACCTGAGTTAACCTAAATAATCTAAAAGGTCTATAATTTATATTATAAAAATATATTTTAATATTATTACATAATATTGTATATTATTTTTTGTTGTAAATACCTAAAATGTTTATATGTAAATTTATAACAAAATAATACTTTTTATATAGTTCGATTAGTTTTGTTTTATTAAACTGAGATAACCAAAATTTTACAAGGAAACACAAATAATCGAAGCAAAATATAAAGTTTGAACCCAAAACTTATCGAACCATTGAGCAGGGTCGGCCTGGGCAATAGCTCAGAGCCATTGCTAGGGCCCAATTAAAAAAGGGGCATCAATTGTTTAATTTTTAATTTGTTTAGTTTATAGACTCAATTAATACAATTAACTCAAATATATAAAGGTCTAATTAAAAAAAAAAAAAGGTCTATTATTTATGTGTAACATGTTTAATTTTTAGGTCCAATGTATACAATTATCTTGATTTCATACTCTATGCACTAAATGGTTATTATTTAATGTGTAACATGTCTAATTTGCAGGCCCAATACATACAATTAGCTCAATTTCATATTCCATGTACTAAATACTTATTGTATAAAGCCACTAAAATAA